ATAGAGACATAAGAAGATACTTTTGGTAAGTCCATAACACGAGTTACTGAGCTTTCCAAATCAGTAGATCCTTGTCTTGTTTATAGCCGTTACTTATGATCTTGCATTGATGGAATTGTAACGCTTCAGAGCTTCTCACATCATAGGATGAATATTACCATTGAGAGTTCTTTACAGCTTGATCAGAATTTTGCACATCAGAGTATCAGAGATTTTGTTTCACAGCGCTGGTGCATTCAGAAGTTCAATCAGAACTTCTTCATATAAGCGTGTCATGCATATTTGATACGTCTGAATCTTTCATTGTCCTCTCAACTTCTGTGCTCATATAATCAGAACTTCCTGCATGAAATGATACTTTTACTAGCGAGCATATTTGTTCTTTATTATAATGTGTTTGTCATCATCAAAACTCTTACTGGGATGTAGAACTAAATTATGTTCTAACATGATCACGATGGAGCGTAAGCTTAGCTCAAGGAGGTTGAAAGGATCTTTCGAGTAATGGATTGTTCAAAGGCACAAAAGGTACGATTTGGTATGCATATGCTAGAAGAGGAGGCTGATGACTGGTGGGTTAGCACCCGTTAGAGACTAGAAGCGATAGGTGATGTTATTACTTGGGTTGTGTTTAGTAGGGAGTTTCTGAGGAAGTATTTTCTGGAAGATGTTCGCTGAAAGAAGGAGAATGAATTCCTAGAGTTGAAACAAGGTAATTTGTCTATAACTGAGTATGGTTATATGTTCATGGAATTGGTGAATTTCTATCCTCATTATAGTGAAGTGACTGCTGAATTCTCAAAGTGTATCAAGTTTGAGAATGGGTTGCGTCTGAAGATTAAGTGGGCTATAGGGTATCAGCAAATTCGTAAGTTTCTAGAGTTGGTGAATAGATGTAGAATCTATGAGGAAGATAACAAAGCTCATTTAGGTCACTATAAGAGTCTGAGTGAGAAGAAGGGAAAACATAATGTGAATTATGGGAAGCCATATAGTGCTCCAGTTGATAGGGATAAATAGAGGATTATTGAGGGTAAGAGGCCTAGTGGGGGAGGTGCTACTGTTATTCTGAAGTGCTATAGGTCCGGTGAGTTGGGTCATCGTGCTAATGAGTGCAATAAGGATGTGAAAAAGTGTTTCCAGTATGGGAAGACATGACATCTAATTGCAAAGATAAAGTGGTGGTTTGCTATAATTATGGTGAACCTGGACACATCAGTACTAATTGCCAGAAGCCAAAGCAAGCTTCATCTGGAGGAAAGGTGTTTGCTCTAACCGGGACTCAGACTTTCAGTGATGACATGCTGATTAGAGGTATATGTTATATTAATAGTACACCTTTGATTGCTATTATTGATATTGGTGCTACTCATTCTTTTATTGTGGCTGACTGTGTGAAAAGGCTAGACCTTGGTGTGTCCTTTATGAAGGGAGAAATGGTTATCTATACTCCTGCTAAATGATCGATAAATACTTCCTTGGTGTGTTTAAATTGTTCACTGTCAATCTTTGATAGGCATTTTGGTGTTGATCTTATTTGTTTCCCGTTAATCAGTTTGGATGTCATCTTGGGAATAGATTGGTTAGAGTCCAATCATGTTCATATCAATTTCTAAAAAAAATCAGCGAGGTTTCTTGCTCCTGATGATGAAGAAAAAGTCAGTTTCTTATATGCTAGGAAGATGAAAGAGCTTTTAAAAGAGGAAGCTCGGGTGCTTGCATTATTCACATCACTATCTATGGAGAATCAAGCGGTGATTGATGAATTGCAAGTAGTGCATGAATTTCTAGAGGTGTTTCCAGATGATATTTCGCATGTACCACCACAAAGAGAGGTGGAGTTTTCTAATGAGCTCGTCCCTGGTACCAGGCCTGCTTCTATGGCACTGATGTTGAGTAAATAAAAAGAAAGTATTTTGTTATCATATCCACAGAGACTGGAGCGATATTACCAACGTTTAGACTATCGATATCTTTCAAGTTAATGTTTATGGAAATTTTGATTTGATACGAGTAATAAAAACGTAAAATAGACGAAATGAATTAAACAAAGTTTTGATATGATAAGTTATCTTGTAGGGATTGGATTTCCTCTACCATTTTATGTATGCAATTTACCAATTAATTTATGCATAATCATGTAGTCATTCATAACTCTGCATAGTTTTTGACAAAAACATGTATGTCTACATGATAGTTTCATGGTTTCAATCGGTTTGTTGATTCGATGATGTCTCAATCGATTAAAAAATTAGATTGTATGAAAAGCAAGTATTTGGTGCAGATATTAAACCTAATTTTATGTCTAGCAATTAATGTTTAATTTATTCTTTATCTTTGATTCATGATTTCAAAATTAATTCTCATTAACAATCTGAATTCATAAGATTCAACAATAATAATAAGATAGAATTGATAATTATTAAAACAAGTTTATATTAAAAGTATAATCGGTAAATATACATACGATTAGGGTATATTCTTCCAATCCAGGCAAGAGAATGAGTTTAGCTAGGCATTATCATGGTAACTTGTACAAAAATGAAGAATTGGAGATGAATGAGCAACAAAGATGATTCCTTGTTCCTTTGATGCATATCCAACTCGATTATTCGATTATCTCCCCTAAGTATCCATTACAACTGAATTGAACAAAACTTCTTAACTATTACAAACTGTATTACAAATATGAGATGATGATCCTCTGCATTGCACTTGGTCCCTTTTTATAGTAGTTTTGGCCGCCTGAGTTCTCTTAGTGAAGTTAAGTTCGCTAAGAGAACTATCATTTCTTCTCCACTATGTTTTTGAATTGTTAAATCGCCTTGTAGGAACCGCCAACTTTCACTATGCGAAGAATAGTTCGCTAAGCGAACTTTCCTTTGCTGCTTCTCGCTTCTAGCGATCCTGGAGTGTTTTGGTTTTGTCTTGGTTTTGCTAAGCAAAATAAGTTCGCTTAGTGACTCGGGCCTTCGCTGCTTCTTTGCTTCTCTTTGCTACTAGCCAACCTGGATGTTTTTCTTTTGAGTTGAGTTCGCTTAGCGAAACAGGACATGCTTTGTTTAATTTTTTCCTCCCTTTGCTTTATCCCTACAATAATCAACCACATACCATTAGAAGTATAATTTTCTTGACAAAGTGTTGATTTTTCATGAATAAGTGTTTTAGTACTTCGATAAATATTTTCTTTTATAAGTAAATTTAAATCATTTTTGGGCATTTATAAAATACTCTCCAACTTGAATTCTTGTTTGTCCTTAATCAAGATCATATTTTCAAAATGATCTCCTTTAATTGCACAATTATGTTTTCAAAATTTCTTGTGATGGCATGGTTCAAACGGAAGATGCTTGTTGCAAATGGTATTTGTTCTTTTTACTTTGATAGAATCAAAGCATGATTATGCAATAATGTGTTTCTATGCAAAGATCTATTATGCAAACAATAGAGAAAACAATATCTCGTTCTTTGAATCATCCTATCACTCATTTTCATAAAAATGATGAAGATTTCTTTGAAGTTTTTGGTGGTAATTTAAACTCTCATTAATAACCTTGTCAACATCTTGATTGATTCATATTTTTACCTTGACAATTTTGTTTTTGAATATTTTTGTGAGCACAAATCACTAAGGACTTTGATTGTGGTTGTAGCTTGGCCATGTTTTATAGGTATGATTGATCCTAAATCTATTTGGTTAAAACAATTTATCCATAAAGTCTTCCCATTTTGCTTGTTCTATTCTCTCCTCTTTATTTTCTTTTCTTTTCTTTTGTCAATGGTGTAGTGTGGCTATGTCATTTTCTTTTTCAAAATTTTCTTTCTTTTCTTTTTCTTTGCTCAATATTTTTCGCTTTTCTTGTTAATTTTCATAGCTTCTCCCCAACTTATGATTTTCATTCTTCCTTTTAATTATTGTATCGTTCAAAAGAAATTTTCTCCAAGCTCATTTTGTTTTGGTTTTCCAAAAAGTGTGAATAGATCATTTGATATCCATGTATCACCTTTTCACTAAGTGGTTGTCATAGTGTATTTAGTGTTTGATCAATTTCTTTTCTTTTTCCGTCTCAATGGGGATTTTGCAAATACTTACTCATGTCACAGGGTATAATAAGGCTTATTGGTTTGAGTGGTTTTTCTCATGAGGAACAAATTGCCTTGATCATATTTATGTTTTTCAAAAAAAATTTAAAAAGAATTGTTAAGGTTCCATATGAATCAATCGAGTTTCAATCAAGGATTATTATCTCATGAACTCTTTTTAGTACACAATGAAAGGTTTCTCACTTTTTCTATTTTTTGGCTATATGATTGCAAGAAGATATGTGTTTGTAAAATTTAAGCATGAAATAATTTTGCAAGAACCACATATTTGAAAATCATTCTATCATTCTACAAAGCTTTATAAAAACATGTATCTTTACCTTGTGCATTTTGTCCAAATTTTATCATTACCACTCATGTTTGTTGAATTTGTGAAAATAGATTTTTAATTCTTCATCAATTTTGAACTTTTGATGAGGATAACAAGAATTTGAAATTCTTGGCATAAAAACACATGTGATGACAAAAGCAAATTTTAAGACAAACATACAACATACCAACCGTTTTAAAAAAAAGTACCAAGTCAAGCAAAGTTACGACATATAAAAATATTACAAAATAAGTGGGAAAATAAAATGAAACTGAAAAGTATTAAAACTGAAACTGAAAAGTACTAAAAACTAAAACTGGAAGCTTTGAAATATCACTCATTTTATGGCGAGCTTTCAGTTTTGTACTTCTCTTTATTCTTCTCTCATCTCTTCATCATCACCAACTTTAGACGCTATTTTGGAACCACCAGAAGTTCCTTCTTCATTATCTGGTTCAAACTCCTTTTCTTCTTCATTTCTGTCTCCATGACCAGCTGCCTCCTCCATGTAGAATGTACTGTCCCTAGGCCACACAATGTGACTTTAAAATGCCTTTTGAGTCGTCATTTGGTGGGTTGCACCGGGCTACACTTCTGGCAGGATTTTCAACTTGTAAATAGCATCATGTAAAGACATGACAACTCTATGGCTAGAATCATTTTGATCCCAAGTGTAAGTAAAATCTTGGCGGAGTCTCAGATCCCAATCATTGTAGTTCAGAGTTTCAGATGAAGTCTGCCCCGATTGCCCTTCTCTCCTTTTCTTTTCTAAGCAATATTTGTCCACATACATGTCATTAACCTTTGTTTTGATCTTAAAGTGAACCATATTTGGAATTTGCACACGTGAAGCAATGAGTAATCCCATCATGAGACCGGGAAACACAAGAGGACAAATGGTTTTGGTTCCTGCTCCAAACTCCTTACCACTTTCTACAACATTTCTCATTTCATTAGCAATGATTTGAGCAACATCAATTCTTCTTCCTAACATGATTAGATAAAGGAGTTGAGGCGTATCCAAAGTGAATGCAGAGGTGTGGCTACTAGGCCTGATATTGTGCAAAATGAGTACGAGAAGGACTTGAGCTTCACGGAGTAAATCCTCCATATGCAACCTAATTGCTACACCAGAAGAATTCCTTTCCACACTCTGCCTGTCCAAAAGGATTATCTCAGAAATAAACTTGACATTTAGTGTAGTATTGATGGATTCTTGATATCAACACATATGTCCTTCCTTCAAGACTAGAGGATTTCCCAAAAATTCACTAATGGCATCCCTATGAAAGTGAATTGTTCTCCCTCAACCTTGGTAGAGAAGGAGAATGTAGTTCCTTCTGAGGAAAAGACATTGGCATACATTTCTCGAAGCACACAAGTGTTTATATTGTGGTGAGGGCTTAAGAGAGTTTCTCATTTGCGTTTTGCCTAATGAGCACTGAAGGACCTGTAGTCTCCTTCAGAATTGATCTAAAAAATTCTCTTAGACCAGATGCTCCTTCCAATTAGCTCATCATACCTATCCTGTTGCTCAAGTCCGAGAAATTTTATTCGGTCGAAGGGTTCTTGCACTCTTGAAGATTCTACCTCTGCGGTTTTCGGCTTCTTTGAGGTAACAAGTCTTTTGGGGCCATGCCTGCAACAACATAAACAACAGATAACTGTTCTATTAGAAATTGATTTTTTTGTATCAGGGAAAGTCTGCTTAGCGAACCCTGTAATTTCTGGAAAAATATGGTTGACAAATTTCTGATTTCTGTTTCTTTTCTCTTTTTATTAAACCAAAACATTTGATGTACTGATATTTGTTAATTCAATATATTTCAGATTATATGCACACCATGATCATGTAAAAGCATAAAGTATGCTATGGAACATGATATTTATCCTAATTTCAACCATAAATGCACAACAATCTGACTTTCCACACTATAGTTTCAACAAATATTCAAAATAAAGTGGTTATAATAACAGTATGTAAGAGTGGCATAAAAGTTTAAGCTAAAAGAGAAAGAAAAAGAATATAAGTATAGCAAGTAAGAGATGATGATGGTTTATAGATCTTGCATACCTGATGTTGCTGCAAACTTTGGAGATGGAGAAGAAAGGGGAATAGTATGCACAAGTGAATAAAGTGAGAGAGAGAAAGAGAAGGTGTGAAGTGAAAAAGTGATAAGAGTGAAGAGTTTCTAGGGTTAAAGAGATAGAAAAGTGAAAAATATCTTGAAAAGTAAGGCTATTACGTGACATAAAGGCTCGTAGGGCAGTAGGTGGTGTCTTTTAATGGTCATAATGACAGGTTTGACCACCGCATCTTCGCTTCGCGAAAAAGGTTCACTTTGCAAATTTTCTGGTTTTTAATGTTCGCTTAGCAAAATATGTTCGCTTAGCGAACTCTACAACATCTCAGAATTCTGCAGAATTGGCAAAATGCTTTACAGGAACCACCAACTTTTGATATGCGACGAATAGTTCACTAAGCGAACTTTCCTTTGTCGCTTCTCACTTCTAACAAATTTGGAGTATTTTTGTTCTGTCTTGGTTTCGCTAAGTGAAATAAATTTGCTTAGCGACTCGGGCCTTCGCTGCTTCTTACTCGGGCCTTCGCTGCTTCTTCGCTTCTCTTTGCTACTAGCCAACTTGGATGTTTTGCTTCTGATTTGAGTTCTTTGCGATAATCAACCACATACCATTAGAAGTATCATTTTCTTGACAAAGTGTGAAATTTTCATGAATAAGTGTTTCAGTACTTCGATAAATGCCATATTTTATAAGTAAATGTAATTCATTTTTGGGCATTTATCAAGCACCATACATGATGTTGACATTAGAGTTAGCAGAGTTAAAGAAACAATTAGAAGATTTGTTGGAGAAGAAATTTATGAGACCAAGTGTATCACCTTGAGGAGCTCCGGTGTTGTTGGTAAAGAAGAAAGATGGTAGTCTGAGGCTGTGTATGGATTAATGATAGTTGAATAAAGTAACGATCAAGAACAAGTATCCACTTTCGAGAATAGATTACTTGATGGATCATTTGGTGGGTTCACGGGTCTTCAATAAGATTGACTTGAGGTCGGGTTACCATCAAATTTGGGTAAAAGATAAAGATATTCAGAAGACCGCCTTTAGAAATCGGTATGGACATTATGAATATTTAGTTATAATGTTTGGAGTTTCTAATGTGCCTGGAGTATTCATGGAATATATGAATCATATATTTGTTCTTATCTGGATCATTTTGTCGTGGTTTTTATTGATGACATTTTAATCTATTCCAAGTCGAATGAATAGCATGCCTAGCATTTGCTAATTTTGTTGCAAGTGTTGAAAGAGAAGAAATTGTATGCAAAGTTGTCAAAATGTGAGTTTTGGTTGCAACTGGTTATTTTTATTGGCCATGTGATTTCAGGTAACAATATTGTTGTGGATCTGTCCAAAATAGATGCGGTTCTACAACGGGAGGCTCCTAAGTCGGTTACAAAAATTAGAAGCTTTTTGGGCTTGGCGGGTTACTACTGCAGGTTTATTGAAGGTTTTTCTAAGTTAACACTTTTGTTAACTCAGTTAACTTGTAAGGGTAAAGCTTTTGTGTAGGACATTCATTGTGAGAAGAGTTTTGTTGAACTGAAGAAGATATTGACTACAACTCCAGTTTTAATTTTGCAAGAATCGAGTGAATCGTTTGTGGTGTATTGTGATGCGTATTTGATGGGTTTATGTGGTGTGTTGGTGCGAGAAGGTAAAGTTGTGGCTTATGTTTCACAACAACTGACGGTTCATGAGAAGAACTATCCTACTCGTGATTTATAGTTGGTTGCAGTAGTGTTTGTGTTGAAGATTTAGAGGCATTATCTTTATGGCTCCAGATTTGAAGTGTTCAGTGATCATAAAAGTTTGAAATATCTATTTGATCAGAAGGAATTAAATATGAGACATCATAGGTGGTTGGGATTCTTGAAATTTTATGACTTCAGCTTGAATTATCATCATGGTAAGGCTAATGTCATGGTTGATGCTTTAAGTCAAAAGTCCTTGCATATGTATGCATTGATGGTTAGAGAATTGGAGTTGATTGAGAAGTTCAGAGACTTGAGTTTGGTTTGTGAGCTGACACCATAGAGTGTAATGTTAGGTATGTTGAAGATAAACAATGACTTTCTTGCTAATATTAAAGAAAGTCAAAAGTTGGATGTGAAAATGGTGGACTTGATGGTTGGAGATAATCAAATGGAAGAAAGTGCCTTTAAAGTGGACGAGAAAGGTGTACTGAGGTTCTGGGGCAGGATTTATATTCCTGATGATTCGTAAATGAAGAAGATGATCTTAGAAGAAAGTCAACGCAGTAGCTTGAGTATCCATCCAGGAGCTACTAAAATGTATCAGGATTTGAAGAAAATATTCTGATGGTCGGGATTAAAATGTGATTTGCAAATGTTTGTGAATGCTTGTTTGACTTGTCAGAAGTCGAAAGTTGGGCATTAAAAACCTACAAGGTTAATGAAACTGTTGGATATTTCAGAGTGGAAATGGGATAACATTTTAATGGATTTTTTGACTGGGTTGTTGAATACTCCGAGAGGCCATGATGCAATTTGGATGATTATAGATAGGATGACAAAATTGACTCACTTTATTCTGATTAATATCAATTTTACTTTGTAGAATTTGGAATAGATTTACATTCGTATGATTGTTAAATTACATGGGGATCCATTGTGTATTATTTTTGATAGTGACCCGAGCTTTACATCAGGATTTTGGGGGAGTTTGCAGGAGGCTTTGGGTTCTAAGTTGAGATTGAGTTTTGCTTATCACCCACAGACAGATGGTCAGACACAAAATTATTGAGTCATTGGAGGATTTGTTGAGAGCTTGTGTCCTTGAGCAAGGAGGTTCTTGGGATAGTCATCTTCCACTGATAGAGTTCACTTACAATAATAGTTTTCATTCTAGCATTGGAATGACATCCTTTGAGGCATTGTATGGTCAAAGGTGTAGGAAACCTTTGTGTTGGTATGAATCTGGTGAGAACGTAGTGCTTGAACCTGGGATTGTCCAGTAGACTACGGAAAAAGTGAAGTTACTTCGAGAAAAAGATGAGATCTTCATATAGTAGGCAAAAGAGTTACCATTATAATAGAAGGAAGGATCTTGAGTTTCAAGAAGGTGACCACGTATTCTTGAGAGTCACTTTGGTGACCGGTGTTCAACGTGGTTTGAAATCGAGAAAGCTTACTCCACAATTTATCGGCCCGTATTAGATTTCTAATAGGGTGGGAGTAGTTGCTTATAGGGTGGCATTGCCACCCAATCTTTCGAATTTCCATGATGTATTCCATGTTTTGCAACTTCGAAAGTATATTTCAGACCCATCTCATGTGATTCCGATGGATGATGTGCAAGTGAGTAATAATCTTACGGTTGAGACCTTACCTGTGAGAATCGAAGACTGCGAGGTGAAAAAGTTGAGGGGAAAGAAGATATTTCTCGTGAAGGTGGTTTGGGAAGGTGCTGCCGGAGAACACATAACTTGGGAATTAGAGAGTAAGATATGAGAGTCGTATCTAGAGTTATTCGCATCAGGTAAATTTTCAAAGACGAAAATGCTCTAAGTAGGGGAGAGTTGTAATGCCCCGATTTAATTTAAATTAGTTTCATGATTTAATTATGTGATAATGAGTGATCTTGTTGTGTGATTGGTGTTTTTGTTTATTAGAGGGACCTTGAGTGTAGGGTGGTGTTGCACCCCAAAATCTGCATTGTTGTTACTAACCCTAATTGGCTTATGTTTCATCATGATACATACTCATGCATTACATTGATTCTATGGTTATATTGTTAGAACAAAGTTTGAATCTACTACCCTATATTTGAGTTTTGATGATAACAAAGTGAAAAGATATAGTATTTATAAGTTTCATGTATGAACTATCTGCTGCCTAAAATTATTATGTTCTGACTTGCAGATACTCTGATTGATATAAGCAAGATCACATCTTTTCAGCATCAGAACTTGATTTCAGACACCAGCATCAGAAGTTGCTACATCAGAACGTCAAAATCAGATGATCAACTCACGTACATGCTGAAGCCTGATGAACAAGACTACGCTCAACACTCTGATACAGAAACACAATAGTTCATCAGCAGCGAAGCAGAGTCAGAATGAGCCAAGCCAGAACTTGCATTAAGGAAGCAACGGTACTGTGCATTGAAAGCTAATTAATTCCAACGGCCTCATTCCAGACAAGATCTGCTCAATAAGGAAAGTTTGTTATTAGCATTGAATCAAGAATATTGCATCCAACGTTCATCATCTCAGTGCTATATAAACAAGGCTTTGAAGATTGAAATGGTTAATGCTCTCAAAATCTCTACACGCACAAAAGTTGAACCATAATCTTCGTCCTATCAGTTTTGCTAAACCCCACACTCTGATATTCCATTACTGTTTAGCAATCTAGTTTCTAAGCTTCATTTTGTGTATACATCACAGTTGTGATACAGTTTTATAGAAAACATCCACACACATAGTTTTATCTCTTTGTAAGAAAGTGTTACCTTGACAAACCGGGTTGTGGTTTGAATCAAGAAGGCTTTAGCAGTTGTTAAAGCAGTCTGTAATATTCAGTTGAATATAGTGGATTAAGACCTCGTTGGAGAGAGGCGAAATCACCTTGACGGGTGGACTGGAGTAGTTTGAGATCAAACGAACCAGGATAAAAATATCTTGTCAATTGCTTTAGATTTCAGTTTTACAATTCAACCCCCCCTTCTTGTGTTTTTCACCACTTCAATTGGCATCAGGGCGCCTGGTTCTGAGCTAAAACACTTAACCGTGTCAGTACAAGATCCAGCGTCAGAAAAACACAATGGCAGGAAACAATTCTCACATCAGCAATGACAATAATGAGGACAGAGACAGATTCAGTGGCAAACCTCCAGTGTTTGATGGAGAAAACTTTGATTACTGGAGAGACAGAATTGAAAGCTTCTTTCTGGCACATGATGCTGATCTGTGGGATATGGTGACAGATGGATACACGCACCCTGTGAATGCAAGTGGTCAGAAGATTGATAGAAAAACAATGTCTGATCAACAAAAGCGTGACTTCAAGAATCACCACAAGGCCAGAACCATCCTCCTCAGTGACATCTCCTATACTGAGTATGAAAAGATCTCCAACAGAGACACAACAAAGAATATTTTTGATTCTCTCAGAATGACGCATGAGGGCAACGTTCAGGTC